AAACCCAGAAACCAAAAACCAGTAAAATCAACAATGGATCACTGCATATTTGTTCTCCTTTTATAGTTTATTGTATTTTTTAATTACTTTTTGTTGCTTTTTTTTTATTATTTATTTTTCTTTCAGTTTGGGCTTTTGCTTGCTTGCTTGCTCACATAATCTAGCCATCGACTGCACGACAAATTAAAAAAAAAACTTGCCTGGGTCTATCCTTTGTGCCTTTAACCCACTTGCGTTTACTGCCTCTGCTTCGATCTTATTTTAGGAAATCGCTTCTGGATTTTGCAGATACTGTGTAAATCTCTTGATTTTATTGGTATTTTTCTATTTTTCTGTTTTATTCCTTTACTTATGGGCTTTAAATAACGGATTCTTTTTCATCATTTCTTTGTTATATTTCATGATATTTGGCTAAATTTGATTGGATGGGAAGTTTGAGTAATGGAGCATCTATAATCTATTCGTCTCCGATATGGAAACTGATACGGGATTATTAGAAAATTATATTTACGTGCAAAGATCACTTAATCCATAAATATGACTGCTAGCTCAGTAACTCTAATTTTTGTTCATTCATTTGCTACTTCGGTTTTTGTTTTTTTTTTTTTGCTCGTTTCTGTGGGCGACCTCAAAAGTTGTTGTGCAGGAGTTCACCATGAGCTTGTGAAGTCTAGATTTTTATAGCTGCATTGAATCTAAAACCTATTTTGCAGAACGATGAGCTATTGAGGATTTCTTTTATATAGATGTTTATGTGTTAGATATAGCTGGGATTGGGACAATTGCTGGTTAAGTACTGAAATGCGATGATGTTAGGGCCTTGGCAAATTGAAGAAGAAACATACAGAAACAAGTTTATTCCTGAAAACCAAAATATAAAAGCAATTGTGAATTGAGGAGTATGCAAAAATTGTCTTGCAGAACGATGGGCTATTGAGGATTTTCTTATATACATTTTTACGTGTAATATAACTGAGATTGAGACAATTGATGGTTAAGTAATCAAACGCAATGATGTTAGGAAGAAAAATACAGAACAAGTTTATTCCTGAAAACCAAAATATACAGGCAATTGTCAATTGAGGAGCATCCAAAAATTGTCTGATTTGTTTATATATACTTTACATGTCTGGATTTAGTAAATTTCTTACTCAAATGTAACATTCTTAAATTAAAAAGAATTTGTAGTTAAACACAATAATGAAGCATATTGAGAAAGTAAGCTTTAAATTAAATTTATATTTAGCCCTTTATTGGTGGCCATTTTTTTGGAAAAACGTTGTTTTAAATAGTGAATTTTTGGAGAATGTGTGGTTCAAAAGTAGAGAAAAGTTTTGGGTTTATGTGTAGAATATTTTATTATATGAATGTGTGGTTGAAAATTAGTATATAAAAAAAATAGTTTTGAAAGAACGGGAGACAAATAGGGGCTCAATGACTATGCCGTCTCAACATTTCTCCAGAGTTAAGAGGTTCAGGAAGGTGGTTTTTTAATATATGAAAAGATTAGTACAAAATTAATCGAAACTTAATTAAAAAAATATAGTTAAACTGGAATTATACATAATTTTGGACTTGCCCGCTCTTGAGTATCAGGATCTATCTATTCTATTTTTGGTGTTTACTTGTTAGGTTTGATCCATTGTTTTTCTCATGGAACCAAAATATGTGAAATCTCATCATTTAACTATTTCTAATAGATGTTTGCTAAGTCGATCCCTTTCAAAATTTAACCAATTTTTATGTCTGTGTTATAATATGTGAATATTTGATATCCCCTCTTAGTCCTTGTACAAGTGATGTGAACATTTCTTTGTCAAACTCACATCCTCTCTCTTCATTGTCTCTGCAGAATATTGTCAGTGATTCTCCCAAGGTCTTATAAGGAACTTTACCATTGTGCTTTTTGACTGTTATATATGGGCTGAGTTTTACATTTCATGGGAGGTGTAGATGATGATGAACCACCCTCAAAACGTGTGAAAGTGTCATCTGGAGCATTAGTAGGTCTTTTGAACGGTACATCCCATAGAGAGCAAGCTAGTTGCTCATTGAGTGACTCGATGGCTCAACCACTAGCATCTCAAGGGAAAGACGAGGTTGTTGGTTCAAAAGGGGTGGTTAAGAAAGTCGAACTTGTTCGGATTATAGCTGATGCATTATACTCACTTGGTTATAAGTATACAGGGGCACATCTGGAGGAAGAGTCGGGGATACCATTGCAGTCCTCTGTAGTAAATTTGTTTATGCAGCAAATTCTTGATGGTAAATGGGATGACAGTGTAGTAACATTACATAAGCTTGGTCTAATGGATGAAACTATTGTTAAATTGGCATCTTTTGTAATATTGGAGCAGAAATTTTTTGAACTTCTGGGTCAAGAAAAACTCATGGATGCTTTGAACACACTGAGGTCTGAGATTGCACCTCTTTGTATAAACAATGATAGAGTCCGTGAGCTCACTTCCTACATTGTATCCCAATCAAAAAATGTTCTTGATATCAGTTCTGAGCAAGAAGCGAGGCTCAATTCACGCAAAATGTTGCTTCAAGAACTGCAAAAGCTGCTTCCTTCAACAGTTATAATTCCTGAAAGAAGGTTGGTGCATCTTCTTGAACAGGCTCTTGATTTGCAACGGGATGTATGCAGGTTTCACAACTCTTCAGTCGGGGAGATGTCATTGTTCACAGATCATCAGTGTGGAAAGGATAAGATTCCTTCTCGAACTTTACAGGTCATGTTACGTTTATCATTCTTGTATCGAACGTGTCGAAAATATTTATAATATTTGGAATTGGGATTTTTATTATGGTGATTCACACATGTGAATAGCAACTAAAAATTTGTCTTTTAATTCTTTAATAGTTGCTATTGTTCAATATTGACTCATTCTTGAAATTTAATGCAAATATATTTTGTTTCCAAAGATTGGACTTTGTGGATACACGTGCTTTTACCTTGTCACTTTTTGAGTTATATAATTATTTCAATTGGGTCATCTTAATGTGACATGCCAGTGAAGCATGTCATAATCCAAAAATGTGAACACTTGCATTCAGATTCTAAAATTGATCAAAGTTAGTATCAGGAAATTGAAGAAATATGATGCATAAGTTTTCGAACTCATTTTGGAACATGTAATGGAAATTGATGCATACTATGTACATGTTCTTATTGTTTTTATGCTTTATAATAGATGATAAACAGCAGTTTCGTTGCCGGTTATTAAAGCACGTTTTTCATATTCGGTATATACCTATTTCATTTAATGATCGTTGAAAGCATTATATGGTATATTGGCCAATTTATTTTCTTCTCTGTGTCACCACTGATTCCTTTTATAATTTGTAACAACTTCAGATATTACAAGAGCACAGTGATGAAGTCTGGTTCTTGCAGTTTTCTCACAATGGCAAATACTTGGCCTCTTCATCCCGCGATTGCCTAGTGATTATATGGGAGGTAATATAGTCTTGTCCTTGCTCATGTACATGTATTGGTTTCCTTGCATTTATAACCCTCGTTACCTACCAAATCTGTCTTAGATAATGTATTATTTGGTGGTTTTTTTACATGTATGCAATGTACAATTTACAGTCAAGATGACTTCTATGTTTTGTTTCCATTTTCCAACTTTTGTCTAGACATCGAGAATCTATGTTTCAAAGCATATATGGTGGGGAAGAGAGAGGAAATGGAGCTGTTTTATGTCATGTGCATGGCCAATTACGGACTTTGAATGCAATTCATTACGGTTTTGATGGCCATGAAAAGTTGGTATTTTTTTCCTAATACCCACTGTTGTGGTGGACATTGGGAGTCTATCTGTCATCCTCTCATACACTCTTAACATTTTTCCTTATGTTCATTGGTGGGGCCACTGTCAAATTTCTTTGCTACATGGTGATATTTGAAGCCATATGCACAAAAAGTGTAAATGTATTGAGGATGAAATTAAGGAAATTTTAAGTATTTGTGTCTCAAGGAGGACACTGGGTTGGATATAAGTTGGGGGAGGGGAGTCGGAAAACGAAGATGGAATTTGAGAATTACTTCATGTTTAGCAGCATGGTTATTGGAACTTCAAAGCATGATTATTTGTAGCTTGTACATTTCAGCCTCATTAGCAATCAATTGTTTTTGGGTTTTTCCCACCCTTTTTTAACACTCAGCCATGTTATTGGCCTAGTAACTTTTTCTGAAGTGTTACTTTATAAGTTTGATGGGCGATGATATAGTCCTAATAAGAGGGGAAAGTAAATTTTCTGATGCGAGTGATGCTCTGAAGAGAATTGAAATGATTGCATAAATTGCGATGACATGGCCTTGAACTTGGGCTTATTTTCTACTTCTATACTTTTCGTGTATTATGTGTACAGCAGCATGTCTTCCTTGAATAAAACATATAGCAGTGAGGAAACATTTTCTAAGTTCTTCTTGACATGCTCAATGCTTCCTATGCTATATATTACTTGAAAATGTGGGCAGAGGAAGGAAAGTGAGAAGAAAAATATCTCTCACTTCATAGGTTTTGTATTTTTACAGGGTATAAATACATGAACTGAACAACTACCAGCTGCAAGAAAAAAAAAGTCTGATATACACTTACTCAATGCACATTAGAACCCCATAATCTACTTCCTATCGAATATACGCGATCATTGACCAAACTGAATTCTGTAAGTCCTTTCCTATATATGACTTGTGTGGTCTATCGATTCATGTGCTGTTCCTTTGTCTAGTGTAAACGTTTAAATATCAAATATCATTCTATCATGTATTAGATCGAGTATTAATCACACTGGAAGACAGAACATTTCAATTTCTTCTTTAAAAGTATTTATTTTGAGTTAGTTACTCTGTAACTGGGTTGAACTCTCAACTTCGTTGGCAACGTTATCCAGTTTTCTAAAATTTGCACAAATGCACCGCCTAGGCGCGACGCGCGGCCAAAACGCGTCGAATTCGAGAATGCGCGGGAAAATGCGTTTTCCATCTAAAAGGTGGCGCAATACGCGCGCCTAATGAGCGCATTATGCCGCCAAATTTTTTTTTTTGGTAAAAAATCTATTTTTTTATATAAAAATATATTTAATATTTTAATGCCTTAAAAATACGAAACGCATTTTGACGCTTATTCTTCGCATTGACACGCCTAAACTTGTGATTCTTGATTCTCGATCTCGACGCATCGCAACGCATTACGCATTTTAGAACACTGACGTTATCAGATAGTGGTCCTCACTTCCAACATACTGCCCTATAGGATCAAAGACCATCAGGATGGTCCTGATGCAATGTCTAATCCTCCATTTGGCAAAATTTATAAATTGTCAAACTTCATTTTCAGTCACATTTTCCAATGGACTTACGAGTGTTATCTACTTATCCACCATTAATTTCTATCTATTTATAAATTCTTCACAAGCGGAGGCTAATTATTTTTGCTCCCATCACTATCAATTATTTTTGGTAGTTTATCATTACTACTCAGTTTATTCCTTTTCAGTCGTTCTAGTTATTTATTACCTTTAAACACCTTTCTGCTTATATACAAGTTTTAACATGATTGGATATTAATTCAGCTCATGTGATGGCTTTTTCATTCATCTGCTTCTCTCTATACCTTTAGATTATTGCTGATCCCTACTTCGGTTTCGGTAATTAGACTATGTTATCAGAGAATCGAATAACCAGTGGATTGGGTAAACTTAAAATCAAGCTAACTTCGAATTCTTTCTAATATTCTGTCAAAAATCCTATAAATGTGAGCTTCGCCTGGCTGGTTGTGCTACTGTTGAGCGTGTTACTCAAAGGCCTTACTTTTGTTTAGATTGTTGTTCTCGTGTTTACGTGGTCTGGATGGAGTCATGTCAAATAGACTACAAAATGCTGTTGCCTCACTTACATCTTGATATGTACACTGTGTTTCTTTTAATGACTTTGCTTTTATCAGGTAAAATTGGATGGTCGAGTCTCCTTGAAGCATAGATTGTCTGGTCATCGGAAACCTGTCTCGTGTATTTCATGGAGCCCTGATGATCAACAATTTCTTACTTGTGGAGTGGAGGAGGCAATGAGACGATGGGATGTTACATCCGGTGAATGCCTCCATATTTATGAAAAAAATGGCCTCGGTTTTGTCTCTTGTGGATGGGCTCCAGATGGAAAAAGGATATTTTCTGGTGTTACTGACAAAAGCATCAGTATGTGGGATCTGGAAGGGAGAGAAGTAGAATGTTGGAAAGGACAAAGAACTATTAGGATATCTGACTTGGGAATAACTAGGGATGGGAAACAGCTTATTACTGTCTGTAAAGAGACTACGATACTGTTATTTGGATGGGAATCACAGTCGGAGAAATTAGTAGAAGAGGGTCATAATATAGTGTCATTTGCTTTATCCGAAGACAGCAAGTTTTTACTTGTCAGCCTGTCAAACCAAGAGATTCATCTTTGGAATATTGAGGCTGCTATAAATCTAGTAGCCAAATTCAAAGGTCACAAACATTCTCGTTTTGTTCTAAAATCCTGCTTTGGTGGACTAGGTCAAGCATTTATTGCTAGCGGAAGTGAGGACTCAAAGGTGATTTCTCTTCACATGTTGATTTTTGAAGTTTATTTTATTTCCTTGCAATTTTAATCTTCTTTTATCTTTTTTAAATCCATTTGATATGCAAAAGTAGCTCTGGTAAAAAATGTTGAACTGTCATCTGAAGTTGTTAGAGAAAGGATAAGTTTATCTAATTAGAGGTTGTCTTCAACATGCATCATCATGGCAGACCGGACTCAATTTTAGGATTAAATTCGGTACCGACACCTGACATGTGCAAAATTTTGTAGATGGGTAGTGCGAGATTTGAATTTAGGACCTTTGCTTACGCTTGTGTTGTGTTCAAAAAGTTCAAGCTTTTACATAAGGTGGTTCAACAAAAGAAAATTCTTGATTCTCAAACAATCTCAATGGAAAAGATTAGCGTGTGAAGCATGCCTCATATCATAACCCATAGTTGAATATAAATTAGCTATTTATTTTGGCGCCAAATTAAGAGTTAATTTCAAGCTAAGTTATATTTTTGTCTTAGTTTGGTGAAAAAAAAATACTAAAATATCCAAACATGTTTCGAAACAAAAAGTTTTTAAGAAGTAAATTCTTCCTTTTTGAACTTAGCCAAACATGCTCTTCCCCATGAGAACACTATGCTGTCACCATTCTGACTTCAAACCATCGCTATTGCCACAGTTGTTACCTTCCCGGCCAGTCCTCTATCACCACCAGTCCCCTGCCACTACTAGCCTCCACATGACGAAATGCATGCATTAAAGGTTACATGCTGTATTTTGTATACATATATCACTCGTGCACATGCTACAGTGACACAAAATTCGAAAAAAATAGAAAGTTAAAGTATTGATTGTAAGAATTTATACTTAACAATGTTTTCTAGCTTTCTCTCTTTACCTTGTTTTTCTTTGTTGGTGGACATGGCGAGTAGGTTGAGGATAGCTTAAGGGCCTTGAAATATTAAGTCCACTCCGGGATATTTTAGAAAATAATGGAAACTTGAATAAGCAATTCAATTTAAAAATATTTAAAAGGTCTGCGTCTGTTTACACTTGTAGTGCCTGTTATTTTTTTATAGCACGTATACAGTAAAGAGGAGTTTCATGTATAATAAGTATTATTAGTTGCTGGATGTTACTAAGATGTAATGACTACAGGTCAGTTGGTCATATTAATTTGCCATATTCGTATCTTTCGTTACATCAAGGTACCATATAAAGATACAACCACAATTGGAATCTGTATTCTGTGAATTCATTATTTTCATGTAGCCACACATTGGAGTGGCATATTCTGTACCAGATCTTGAAATGATATAATTCTGTCTATGATTCAGCTGGTCCTATTCATATTCATTTAAGCAAATTAAGCTATGACAAGATTTGAAGAAGGCTTCCTATCATGATTTTCTAAGCTGCGGTAATCATGATTGCATATAAATGCCACTAAAATCATCTTTCTTGTGCTATCCAGAATGTTAATTGTTTAGTTACAAGAACTGGTAGGCGAATGGCCTCGTGGGATGTACAGCATGGAAGGGATAGACTCCTATGGAATGCTTTATTGAAAGGAATATAGTAACTAGGATTGCGTGGACAGCGTGTAAGTGCCTACGGCTGTATGAGAAAAAGAAAGAAAAACAAAGTATATTGTCATAATGAAAATTTTGTAATTAAATCATACATGGTTTTCTATTATGAAAAATGTAATTAATGTTTTACTTCCCTATCCTTACTTTTCCACGAAACGTCAACCTTTAGTTTAGTATCATATTATTTTTTATGTGCGCAGGGTATTAAATGATTCTTGTTATTTTTACTCTCGTGAAACACCATCTATCTTTTTTCCTTGGGAACACTGGTTGATATCTTGATCACATGATTGTATCAACTATTTTTAGGGTTGGGCAAATATTGTATTGGTAATGGTTATCTTATTACCTTCTCCGTCCTTCCTGTTTTATAAGATTTCCACGAAGGGACTCGTTCTTTCCTTGATCCCACTTGATTCCTGTCCCCATTATCTGTCTTCCTGGTTCAAGGTGTCTAAATGTTCAAATAAACTCTTATTTGTGGATACTAAGGATCCTTACTGGTTTCATTTGATAAAATAAATGCTGAACTGCAGATTTCTGTTCTTGGAAAGAGACTAATGGTTTCACCATCTGTAGGTTTATATATGGCACCGAGTCTCAGGAGAGCTCGTTTTGACATTGTCTGGACATTCCGGGGCTGTCAACTGTGTTAGCTGGAATCCTGCTAATCCTCACATGCTGGCTTCCGCAAGTGATGACCGTACAATTCGCATATGGGGCTTAAATCGGGTATGTTTGGATCATGATGATAAGCACAGTAATGGCACCTACCACTGCAATGGTGGGACTTGAAGCTGGAAACAAGAAACACGGTCTATCATTGTATTTCTTAACAAATTGCTTTATGTAAATTTTCACACTTCAATATTCAGTTGACAAATATTGAACAAGAATGTGAACATGCATTAACCATGTCAATAAATTGTGTACTTTCTATGTTTGCATCTGCTGGCATGTTTGTTCTTTAGGCAGCTGACCAATGACCAAAACGACTGATGATAAAGATGAAAATATGGGAAAAATAATTGTTGGATTATTGATGCTTGCTGTCACACGGATGCACACATGCAAAAAGAGAAAATAGAACACCTGTTTACCCTACACAATGGGTTAAAATACACTGGTAGTTAACGAACTTCAATAAAATTCCATGTGGGCGATTGAACTTCATTTTGTTTCGAGTTGGTCATTGAACTAAAACTTTATTTTCAGGTGGTAACTTTTAGAAAGGCGGGTGTGAGATCTTTCTCCATTTTGTGTTCAATCTAACATACAAAATGTCCTCGATATACGAGTTTGACATGTTGAGTAGTTTGGTTACATTTTCCTTTTTCTTGTTTTTGCTTCTTACATTGCTATATATTTTTATTACTTGCTATATTTTTTGGTATAATTTGGTGAATTTGATGAGTGTGTAAATACACTAGACAACACTGAGTGTCGTGTCTTTGTTGGATAGGGTTGATTGCACCCACCTCGATTGTGTTTGTTAGTGTGCATTCTTCGTGGTTGCTACACAAAGTAACTTATATTCCTAATTAAAAAACGGATTGGTACTTAACTTTTACGTGAATGTATGTTGTTTGGGATGAACCTAATGAAGAAAGGTTATTCGATAAACAATTCGCCCCTTTGTGAAAGCAAGATGAAAGTTATAAGCCGGCGTCTTCATTGCTAAGACCCTTGAATAAGTTTCTTCACTTGAGTCGTAATAAAATCCCATCATAGAGGATAATTATAACTCATCGTTATAGGTTTTGGGGTTTCCTTATATTTACTCATTCGAAGAATTTTTCGTAGTAGTTCAAAGAGTGCTAGTGTCTTCTTGTTTTACATCAAGGCAACTCATTGTAGGGACTTATATGCAAAAATAGTGCTGAATTATCCATATTAGCTGTCTCCATAACTCAAAACTTAAAAAGTTTAAAACAACTCAATTCATCAAAGATCATATTTATAAGTGAAATTACATACAAATAATCCACGTCTCACATCAAGCAACACTGAATGAACTTGCTGTGCTCTCCACAAATTTCCTTGCACCTTTGAACCATCTCTTGTCTCCAGCTTGAGCCTTGCAAATGTAAAGCTTCCCATCAGACACAGTGGCTGTGATCAGTTGGTGTTTGCCGCCCTCTTCTCCATCAGCCGTCCTTGTCAACACGGATATGAAATAGTACTGTTTTCCACCAATAACTGGAGTGTCTGTCTCCAGTATGTTTGCACTTGCCACAGCATTGGCATCAAATCCACCCTAAAATTATAATTTCACAAGAATGATTTATATGGAAAGGAAGCTTTCGAATATGCATATGAAATAGTGGCCGTTTGGACGGAAGGGGATATTCAATGACATTTGAGAGGGGACGTATAGCCTGACCCCCAGCATATGCGAAGAGAAAAAATAATAAGAGAGAGAGAAACCAAAATATTCAAACGAGTATATATTGCAAAAAGGTCTGTTTCTGATTCATTTGTGATTTACCTCTGAATCAGTTTTTCCGAAGTAGGCTTGTTTTCCTAGGAGATAGTCCACCTGAAATTATTGACATCAAAATTTCATTAACTCACACAAAAGTTGATTGTTTATCTGACTTTGAAATTTATAGAATATGATATTGAGACGCGTCATTCAAATAACGTATACGTGGGATGTGAGTTGAAGTTAACGGATTCCAACCGTTTAAATTTTTAGACGAGGTGGTTTGACAATGATTACCTTGGAGATGAAGTCTTCAGGAGAACCATAGTCAGTGATAGATTTCTTGTCGGTAGAGGTGACCATAACAGATACATTGCTGGTGGCATCAAAATTGTCCTCATACCTCAGAACCTGACCAGGAAACTCTCTTTCTTTGCTTGGATTCCACTTTGAGGGAATTGACAACTTGAATCCCTCTCCATCATAGGGCAAGAAATCTGTGTTTTCCTTTGGCTTCCCAAAAATGTTAGCTGCAATTTATTCGTTCAAATATAAACAGACTAAATTTCGAGTGAGAAATATAACTTTATTGCGCACAAACAGACTCTCATGGATTTGAGGTATTACCAGCTTGGCCGTAGGCTGCATCGGCAGGTGAAACCTTGGAGCCTATAGCAGCAGCACCAATTAGAACAGTGAGAGCCAATCTACGAGAGAGAGGCAAAGCATTGTTGTCATCATCCTGTTTTTGGGCACGGCAAACTAATTGGCTAGGCTTGAGGGACGGCGCATGACGTTGAGATGATCTGGTACTTGTCGAGAGTACATTGGGGTTCAAGAAGCATGCAGTTGAAGCCATTACTGCTTTCTCTGCTCTTCTTTTCCTTGTGGCTTGTGAATGTTAGATATGGAGAGAGAGTGGCCTAGCTGATGTGTTCCTTTGTGGGGGGAAATGGATGGCTTTGGATGTACAAAGTGGATATCGGGAAGATTAGATTGGTGACGAAGGATAAGGTTTTTGAGGTTTTCATTGGTGCCAAACTGTCAACGAGTTTACAATGTAATCTCCAAGTCATGAGACAAAGGGTCCCACGAAATAGTTTCTTTCATCTGGATTTAAGATGAGACTTGTACACTATGCATGACATCCATTGGAACAGTGCAAACCTCAATTTCCATTAGAAATTCAGTTTCATTGGACAGTATTTAAACCGTCATCTATTATTATGCACCAAACTTGCACTAAGAATTGCAACATGAACCGTCAACCATTGAGCGCAAAAGATATATCGGGACCTCAAATTTAAATGCCAATATAAAGATTGGTAAGACCACTTAATCAGTACAGCTTAAATGAACACTAAGCTCATATAAGTCACATTATAGCGTGTGAAAAAATAGAACACTAAATCTACTATTATATCATCCAGGACAACAAATACATCATTTCCCATATGGATATTCCCAAGGAAATTAGGAATGTCCCTCAAATTCACTGTATGCTTGGAACCATGAATAAATAGCAGACACCATTCGATTACACACAAGAACTTCTTTAGTGCAGCAACTGATCAAGTGATGGGGTTGCTTCCCGTCTTTTCAATCAAACAAAAATAATTATTATGATATCGTCCTTCTTGCTAACTCTTCGTAACCAGAAGAAGTTTTGACGCGAATGGTCACCTTGTTAATTGCCATGTAATCTTCACATCTGCTACTATAAATTCAAATTATGCTGGAACAAAGAAAGAAAGCAAGAATTCATCAATAGGCACAAATTGAACAAAAAACAACAGAATAAGCGGAAGACCGAAATCAATTTTAGTTCATATATATACAGAAATGCCTAAACCCCTGCAAAAGGGGAAGAGGGATAAGGTACCAACCTATAGGTTAGTGCTTCAGTGTGGGTTTAAGCGTACGATGCATTCTAAATTAATTCCAATAAGTCTACGAAACTTATCTACTTAATACAAACAACATCACAAATAAAGAAAAGTTCTAAATCTTTTTTTTTTTTTGTGTGGTTTCCTAGAGTCAATCAAATGCTACTATCTTGAGAACGTAACCCATCACTCATAGAGCAATACATGTGAAAATTAAAGGAGACAACATTGGTAAAGAGTAATTTAAGGACTAACAAGTAGCAATTTGGAAGAAACATGTACAAGGTACAAAGAGCCAAACCTAGCTAAGTATATTAATTGCATTTCTTCGAGTTCAATATCTTAAAACATGAAAACTCACCTCAAATAGCTTCAGAAAAATCTCCTCCCTGTATTATGGTCACCATCATTATTGTCGTCACCAAAGCGGCTTGACTGAATATTCTGTCTAGAATTTGAATCACCAAAACCATTGGAACGACGTGAACCAAAATCCCCGAAACCACTTGAGCGGCTTGGACCACCAAGGTTTCCAAAGCCACTATTCCGATCTGAACCACCTAGGTCTCCAAAACCTCCTGAACGGCCAGACACAAAACCACCAAAATTGCCTGAGCGGCCTCCACCAAATCCACCACCTGATCGACCAGAAGTAGGTCCATCAAAACGACCACCCCTATAAGTACCAGAGCCACCAGAACGGCCAAATCCTGAATCACCAAACCGACCACCCCCTGTGTTTCTATTAGAACCAAAACCACTGGTACCACGGTTCATGTCACGGTACATGTCCATAGCTCCCTCTTCAACTGCAATCCTCGGGAGCTAACATATCAGGTTAATATAAAGTATAAACAAGTTAGTTCGATATGAATCAACGACAAAATGCAAAAGATGTAGCATTCATCTGCTTCACATGTTCATTTTCTTTGAAAGTCTCACTCTTTTCAGTTGGAATTGTTATTAAAAACAGTATGAAAAAGATTTCAGAAAGAACAAGGCCTAGATTGTTATTTGTTTTCGTAAAGTGGTTTAAAGCTATCGTAGATTCAATGTGCATTAGAAGTTAACAAACAAGTGCTTAACAAAGAAATCAGAGCAATATTTAAACAGAATGGGCAGCGAACGATTTACCTCAACAAAGCGGCATCCAACTTCACGTTCTATAGCCTTGACGTCCCTGTACTGGTGGGATGAATAGATGAGAATTGCACTACCTTTTTTCCCAGCACGGCCAGTTCGTCCAGATCGATGAACAAAAATCTCTGAAGAGTTTGGAAGTTCATAATGTACCACCTAGAAAGAAAACATTCAATCTGAACCCAAATACAGGAATAAAACCATGGAGAAGAGAATAAACTATAAAAAGAAATCTCATTTGCTATCATTATTAAACCCCTAAGCAAGAGGAAAAAAATCACACCTGCACCTTGTATGACTAAGAATCTTAACACTATGAAGCATCATTATCAAATATGCATGTTATATTGTTATCTATGTTGATTATCACCCACAAATCCACAGCGCCGTGTTACAAGGGGTAAAAATAGTATCATCAACATAATGAACTACCTTGAGAATAAAGAACAGTCATCTGACTCAACTTAGGATGGGTCAAAGGTCTGTTTAAATGTGCATATGCGATTAGATTTTAGATGTCAAAACCATAATACAACAAGAAGCTAAGTGGTCATCTTAAGCCAAGTGAAGCAATAAGGATTTCGATAGGATATTAAGAAACAGAAAACAGCTGGTACTGTATCTATTCTTTTTCATTTATTAACCTCCACCGTGGAAACTCGTGCTTCACAAGTAAAATCATGTATAAGAATAAAAAAGATGAAATAATTATCATATACACACCAGATCGACATTTGGTACATCAAGGCCACGAGCAGCTACATCAGTAGCCACTAAAATATTGAATCGCCCATCTCGGAAGCCGGAAAGAGTTCTTTCCCTTTGGTTCTGTGAGATATCACCATGCAAGGCTTCACATCTAAAGTTTCTTTGCATGGCATATGCCAAAAGATCAGCATCACGTTTTGTTTGGGTAAAAACAATACATTTTCCTCCTTTCCCATGCTCCTGATAACAAATGCACAACATGTTGTCAGAAGAGGAAACTGACTACGGGAATAAATTAAAGATCATAGAAATGATGCAGTGACCAGATTAAATATACAATTGGAGATGGCAAAAAAAATGAACTTTAAATTCATACAGTTATTAGAGATCCAATCATTGCTGGTTTCTCACGCATATCTGCTGCAATTGCATACAAGGAAATCCCTTCAGCTAATTTTTGATCAGAATCTCCCACCTGCAATACACATTTGACTTCAATACATTCATGCCGGAAACACACTATTGACCACAAAAAACTCCACAAAATCATAACTGCAGTATAATTCATGCAAGAAAAAAAATTTCAATTAAGAACTAAGAATATAGACAGCAGGGATCTGCACTCTCACAAGATCAACAGTAACCGGATTCTTTAGGAACTTTTGCGTAAGTTTTAATATCCATTTAGGCATAGTAGCCGAAAACATCATGGTCTGATGCTTCTGTGTCATGTATCCCAAGATAGTCTCAACATCATCGGCAAATCCCACATTAAGCATTTGATCAGCTTCATCTAGAACGGTAAACTTTACTTCTGATAAATTCAAAGAACCCCTCTTGATCAAATCAATAACTCGTCCAGGGGTACCAACAATAATATCAACGCCTTGGTCAAGAGAACTCATTTGGCGTGTAATGGGCACACCCCCATAAACACATAGAGTATCTAAGCCAGGAGCAGACTCATAGAATTCTTTATCCACTTGACGTGCAAGTTCTCTAGTTGGTGCCAAGATCAAGGCCAACGGATTCCTTCCTCGCCTAAATAGTGGAAAAAAAAAAAAGCATAAATGTTAAGCTATTAGAAGAACATAATTTTTAACGTCAGACATTCAAGTAGGATGGACAAAAAAAGTTATAATCAAAGAGAACGAACCCGTGCTTCTCATTGTACTGAATGATCTTATCCATGATTGGAATACCAAAAGCTAATGTCTTTCCTGTTCCAGTCCTTGCTCGACCTATCATGTCGCGCCCCTGCATTGCTGGTTCCAGAACAGCGCTCTGTACCCAGAGAGAACATTACTCAATCCTTCCTTCAAAACTCAAAGAATAAGATTAAAACTAAAATAAAATAAAAGCAATGAAGTCTTTGATCAACAAAAAAGGGATCAAAATGAATATATAAATAAGAAAAGGAAAAATTCTGAAATTCAGATAGCTTTATTATAAGTATCAAGAATTCCTTAACCCATGACTCGGGTTTTACACTCATTATGATTCCTTGTTTTCATTGTTAAGGTATAAATAACACAATGAATAAAGATGAAAATATAAACCAACTTCTAAGGGATTGGGTTAATCCTCTTAACATGGTCCACCTTTCAAGACAGTAAGTCTCAATATTCATTTCCATTTTACAGCTTGAAATTTTAGTACTTAATGCCATAGCTATTTCTGATGATAAGAATGAGCATCAGAAATTTCATAAATGATAAAATGAAGCACGAAAATATAAGAAATCAATACATTCAGCCCCTTAACGTATTTACGATATAAAATGTCAGAACTCTCTGTTACAAAATGGAAATTGAGGCTTTCTAATATTACAACTATTTACTATACCTGAATAGGGAAGAGTTTAGTGATACCCTTACGAGCCAAAGTGGAGACAATCTCTTGCGAAATCCCAAGCTTCGCGATCTCAAGCCCGTCATCCGCAACCCCACTCGAAGATCTCCTGTCATCCGCATCAGATAAATCAGCCACTGCATACTCAGCCCGCAAGGCCCGGCCCGCGTGAAAACATCTCGTAGCTGAATAGAAATGTGCAAATGAAGGCACTGGTGCCCTTTCTCTGGAAGTGGCGACATAATTCTGAAATTTAGGAGAAACAACGGAATTTCTGGTAATTGAATTCCCAGATAATAGACTGTTGATCGCAGTGAGAGCGAGCCTTTTGGATGAGGAAGATTTCCTCNCAGTGAGAGCGAGCCTTTTGGATGAGGAAGATTTCCTCAGCAGAAATAAGCTGCTCATTTTCGATTTCTTCTGCTTCTTTTCTGCTTGGAGAAGAACGAAGGTGAAGACTAAACCCTAGGAGGGTTTAGGGTTTATGAAATAGGCACGAAGGCGGTTGGTTGACGGAGTACCAGCATATAATCTGTGTATGCGAACACTGAAAATTCAACAAAAGTTCATTTCAGTCATTGAATTTTAATTCTATTTCAATTGAGTCACTGAACCTCATTTGGGTAATCATCTTTTTATTATTTTCTTTTCTATAGCACCGCATAGAAATTACGTGAAAGATTAAGCTCACGTTTGATCCACATTATTTTTTTCATTCTCATTCTTCTATTCATTTTCAACCTCACATTTTTCAATAAAATAATATTTTACATCACATCAATAACTTTTCCTTCTTTTTCAATCACATATTTTACATTACATCACTTCAAAAAAATGAATTCTCTCATTTTAATGTGCACTAAACAGGCTCTAATTACGTTATAGATGGATAGATGACGGAATGCGACAAAATTTATTCGTAAATTCGAAAGAAAAAAAAAATATTTCAAAAATTTCGCGCTCTCTTAAGATAATAATTATACGTGTGTTAATTCATTCATTTTGCTTTAAAGTATAAAGACTTGGGATTCTATCCTAAATATCGATCTTTTTTTAGGTAGTAAGTCAAATTTTTATATATTAATTAATATTTTAATGTAAGATTTAACAAACAAACGAATTTCAAAATTGATGTGTTCAAATGAGTAGTTAATGGACGTATGGTAGAAATACCAAGTTATCGCTGCAAAGCTCGAGATATTATTATGACGAATGATGAACAAAAATCCAGACGAATATTCTTGGAGGCTTGCAACTATCCATCATTGATAGCAATGGCTTCTAGGATGGAATACAACCATACATATTCGTTAGTGACCTTGATGGACTATGAAAGTAACATTCAAAAACCCATTGGAAAATTTTTCACACGACATACATCAAAAATTTAATTGAATCAAATCATACGTAATTACTTGATTGAAATCATTAAATTATAATTATTCAACTAAAAAAATTTAAAGTATAATTATCTGATTGACACTAAGTGAAAGTATAGTTACCGCAAGTAAACTACACTAAGCAATCGGTTAGAATTCATCACATCACGACAAAATTTGGACTCATGTTTGTATAAATATATGTTATGAACAAGAATGATAGATATAGCAATATGAAATCAGCCACAACGACCAAACTTCTGCATATTCCAACAACTCACGGAGCAATACATACTAAAATAAAAGGAGACGATGCTGGTAAAAAGTAATTAACGAACGAACTTATCGTAGACGAGTACCAACTTGGAAGAAACATATAAAAGGTACGAAGGGCCAAACCTAGCCAAGTACATTAGTTGCACTCCTTCCATTTCAACATCTTAAAACACACCGTATTATCTATCTTAATTTAAATTTGCAACTTGACCCTAGCCAACTCGTAAAGTTCATGTCTACGGCCCCGAAATCGAGTCATTTATTTGCAACAATACAATATGATATCAAAGTGTGTATGGGGTTCATTTGGCAATAAAAATACCATAGTTCCCATAATAACATAATACATTTATCATAATTCAGTTCCGCATAACATGAAAAGGGAAGACTATACACAGCATCTGATGCTTTGATCATTTATCTCGAAATCTTTTGATGTCCTCAATTTCTCACGAAACAGTTGATAAGAGTATTTTTACACACTTATTGTAGACTAAAACATGGATAATTGTTAATAAATATGTGAAATATAGCTTAATTCGATGTAATTTGTGTTTTGTAGGACAGCAATGATGAATGTGGTGAAAATTCAGAAAAACAAGCGAAAAAAGACTAAAATGAAGCACAATCAAAGTTTGAGGACTCAAGTGCAATTACTGAAAAGTTGTGTCGATCTTACGATAAAGATTTGAGAGTGTTGGGTATCAATTGGATGAGGAAAGAAGCCAAATGGATGAAATACAGTGGAAGTACTATCACATATCAACTTCTAACCGAAAAAGTTATATTTCGAATTTTCAGTTTTAGTTTGAGACCCATTTTTGGAATCGAAGAAGTTCGAATTTGAAGATTTATATTTCAATAATATTTGTAGTCCTTTGAGTAAGATTTCCAATATAATTTGAATCACCTTATTCGGATATCGGAAGAGAAAGATATAACCAAAACATTGAAGGATGTTCGACGGGAAAGTCACTCTACCATGCGGCCGCGTGCACCATTCCAGGGAGTCAGGTAAGGAAAATTGTTGTTCCATGCAGCTGCATGGAATATAACCATGCGACTGCATGATTAATTTTCGGTGCAAATTTTCTGATTTTTTTTTCTCGTTCAATCTGTTATGGAAAGGAATTTAGGGCAACTATAAAAATTGAAAGTCATTCAGAAACAGGGGTTTACGCCACTTTAGAGAGGAAAACTCGTTGAAAAGCAAGGAGAAGACAAAACCAAGAGATTTCTACATCGAAGATTGAAGAATTCAAGATTCATATTCAAATTTTGGGAGATGTCTTTTCCTAAATATTCTTATTGTTCTTTATTTTTATTCATGTTAGGCTAGACTTTTTTATGTGTTAGATAAACGATGAATCTCGGGATATGATATTTTAATTCTCTATTTTTTTCATTTTATCCATATTAGACTAGACTTTTTATGTACTAGGGGAACGATGAATCTCGCAATATGATCTTTTAATTCTCTATTTTGCAATTTGATATTCAAACACGATTGATGAATGTTGAATGATTTATATACACTTTCTTGCCTCCATTATTAAATGCATGTGATTATGTGAGTTTGGGTGATCTATTTTATGCATTCGAAAAAAGGGAAATAGATTCTACAAGGTATAAATCGTCGTAGGGTCCGATAGGGGATAGAAATATACCATTATACTTTACGTGAATCTCTAAATGTTTATAAAACGTCATGTATTCTTGTATATTGCATTTGTCATAGAAATATAGTCAAATGGTATGCGAGAATAAATTCAATTCTACTTGGAAGAGATTATTGGATAAGTTAGAAACATTAATTTTCCAACCAATTTATCGTATTATCGAATTGTGAAATAGAGGTTAAAAGTGAGCTTACTTGGTGATTCGGGATCTTAGTGCACTTTTCATTCATTAATTTCATCAAACTTTTGCATTCATTTAATCACATTAGCCTAAATTGCATTTTAGTCATAGTTTAATCCTAAAATTCAAATAACCATCCATTTCAAGTTTAATAGATTCGGTTAAGGTCTTAATAATAGAAATCAAATCAATCCTCGTGGGATGATACTCGAAATTTTACAATTTTCATTTTATTATTTGTTAACGAACCGTGCACTTTGGTGATTTACAAAGTGAACATATTTTCGTGAACAAGTTTTTGGCGTCGTTGTCGGGGATTGAATTTTAATTTGATTTTTGTTATTTAAACACTAATTCGAACTTGTTTTTCTTTATTTTAGTTTAAATTTTATTTTCTTTTAAGTTTATTCACTTAGGCTGAGTTAAGTGCTACTATTTTTCGCTTCTTCAGGTCTTACNTTTTTTTTTTTTTCTTGCCTTAGGTTTGCATGCTAAGGTCGCTTGGCGGTAAACTACTTCCAACGGATTTGGAGATTGAACGGACTTTTCATCGAAGACAGAGGAAAGCGAGAGCAGCACAACAGAAAGATCAACAATTAAAAATGCACTTATCAACAGTCAGCGTGTTGTATTAGCCAATACCCGTGTTACAATGTTTAAGGTTTACATTCGGGATATCAATAGAGGAACAGAGAAAGGATTCTCTTCACCTATGACTGGCTGGAACAAATCCAACTCTCCATACCGCTCCAAAACACGCATTGTGCAGTCTTCAGCGGCCATTAATCCAGTGGAGTATGCACCATGGACAAACCTAGGGTATTCCATACTTGTAGCTTCCCCAGCAAAAAAAAAAAGGTTGTCTACAAGAACCCTTAGCATCTCATACAGATCGTGAGGCTTCCCTACAGTATCATAGATGTATGAGCCCAGAGAGTTTTTGTCTGTACCCCAATGAGAAACAAGATATTGAATCTGCATTATACACAAGGGGAATGGGAATGTCAGAAACTGAGTGTTCATCTGTATGGTTTCACCACATATTATGCAGACATTATAAAATTTGTCGCCTATATTATGAATACTCGTAAGAACAAAAATCAGTTTCCGAATACAATTTATGCGATATGTACTATGAGATACACCAACATTACAAATATGCATAAATAAGTTGATTCTAGGATTTGACATGTTTGACAGTTGGTGCTTTTCTGTCACAAATATGAAGAATTCAACAACGTTTCTAGGATTAGTCATGTTTAACAAATAATGCATTTCCACCACAGATACGAAGAATTCAAGTTGTTCAAATAATTCATGTTTGCCAACTGGAAAAAACATAGAAATTAGAAAGATTTCATTTAGAAAGGAAAAAGGCAATAAATAAAATACAATAAATTTTTAGGTGCATTTACACTAGAACATAATGGATTTGAAATCCAAAGGATTTACTGATTTTTCAACACTATAATCATAATAGGTTTCAAAATTGTGGTGGCATACATACACAGCTATATTAAGGTATCATCCTTTTGAGATTGAAGACTTCTCTTCGTGGTTCTTGAAGTTCATCTTCTTGTCCTAGGATTCTTCTACATGTCAATTTCCCCTTCTCAAAATAAAGCTACATACCCTAACTTTTTCTAGTCATGAATGTGCTCATGAGAAATATCCAAGATGAGGGTATTCAGTGGACTTTATCCAAGCACGACGCTTTTAGTGGCACGTTATAAATTTGGAGGTGGCGGCCAACGATGGAAGACAAATTAAGGAAAGAGAAACTTACATGGCTGGGGTGTATAGAAGCTCCAATCACAAGATCAGTACCAGTGCAATAAATCAGGAGAAACATGTAGACCAAAATTAACAAATTTGTTGTGGCTATAGGCTAACGATCTTAGTGCATTGGATCTTCCAAGCACATGGAGCAATGGATATGGAATGGGGAAAAAATTTCAGCTGCTATCACCAAACTTATCTGAAACAAGGCTTAGTTTGTTATAGTGTGTGTATGTGTATGTGGATGTGGATGCACACACATGCATAAATTAGATGAATGCGTGTGGTTGTGTTGTCTGTACATATGGGCATATGGCATTTACAGAAGCACAACATGTGACATTTCCAGTACAGAAGCATTCTGAAAGGTTCTTAAGTTGTATTAAAGAAAAATTAGTATAAATATTTGCATTAGCGGTGCAGCAGCATTAGGAAGAATTCTTTTAAGTTGCGTGAAAGCAAAATTAGCAGCAGCAGCATCCGACATTTTCTCCATGTCACAGGCTAGTTGCCCTGCAAGCATGTAAACAAGGACATAATGTCCAGTGGCCTTGTGTAGATTAAGAAAATAACTGCACTCGTAGGAAGTCTCGGCAACAACTCCCAAGAACTCTACATTGGGCCAAAACACCTTCTCAAAGTGCAAAAATTATCTTGTTATCTATCCCAACCCCGAGGTTGCAAATGGCTGCTTCTTTCCATTCGGGTACCGAGAGGAGCAGTCATTGTTATATAACAACAGTGTAGACAGTAACCAAGAAATGTAATCTAGAATTTTGGTCAATGGTTGTTTTGTTGTTTCAAATGCATATTTTCACTATCCATGATCTAAAATTTGTTGAATTTTGGCATACAGATTGATCTTTAGGCACCTAAATAACATAAGGTTAATTTAGTTAGTAATAGAAAATGTCAATATTTTATTAATAAAAAAAGTTCATAATGTATCTGACAGGAATCAGGCTATCGGTCGTACCATTTGATTCATTGCATTGTCCGAATAAGTGTTCGAGTCGAGTCTAACAACTATGGTTATTACCAACAAGTGGCCTTAGTAGCAAATTAGGAATAGCGTTGACAATCATTCACATAGTTCGAAATCGTAATATACGAATTTTCTCAATTCTAGCACCAAAATCGTTAAAACATTTAAAAAAAAAAGACTATCTTTAATATGTTCAATCACTATTTCAACCTCCATTCGATAAAACATAAGAAAATATTTAAAAATTCGAATTATTAGAATTTTCTCGATCCCATATATAGAACTAAGAATCAGATCATAATCATTTTGTTCTCAATTTAATAATAATAAGTTCAAAACCGATCAAAGTATAAGTAGAATCAGACCGGGACACTAGGAAAACGTAACTTTTGTCCACCCCTCAACATATGAAAAAAAGATAAGAATTTCTTGAAGTTTACATAAATATTGATATTTGAATCTCAAATTACATAATTTTGTAACATCTAAATAGAAAATTGAATGAAATAATAAATAATAAATTTTATGTTAATTTATTATTCTACAATATAAAGTGAAATGCTAAAACAATTCGTACGTCGCACAGTCGAGATTGGCCCTTAGTGTTTATTTATGGTTGTAAGTAGGGAAAAAGTTATGTATCAATTTGTAAAATTATTTTATTGAAAGAACGTACAGTTAAAAATAATTTACAAGTAAGTTGTGGCAAATAATCCTAAATTAATACAATTTACGCATGTAAAATTTTTTTTTACTAGTGAGATCTAGTGCCTAACCTTTAATACAAAATTACAGCCACCGTGAACTCCCTAGAACACTCAAAACACCGTCAAAACAACACACCAGGCGATTCATATTCTTCCACGTGTCCTTTCTTCCACTTGTCCTCCTTCTATTCGTTAAAACATTCCATCTCGACTCCATCTAGTCGCATATAATTCTCCATTTCTGCCCAACTGCACACACAGAAGCTTCCATCTGATTCAAAAATGGCGAACCCGAATACTCTATACCGGTTCGGGATATTTCTATCCCTGTTCCTGCTAAATGCAGTTCAATCTCAATCAGCAGTGGCGAGTATAGATCTGGGATCAGAATGGCTGAAAGTCGCCGTGGTCAACTTGAAACCGGGTCAGGCCCCGATTTCGATCGCGATCAACGAAATGTCGAAACGGAAAACTCCTTCTCTCGTTGCTTTTCATGCCAATTCGCGATTAATTGGCGAGGAATCACTTGGTCTTCTTGCGCGATACCCATCCAAAGTCTATTCCCATCTCCCAATTTTACTCGCGAAACCCTTTAACTACACGCAGAAGTTTCTCCGGTCGCATTATCTTAGTTACGACATTTCTCCGGACGAAACCCGGGGCGTTGCGGTGTATAGAATTGAGGGAGAGGGGGGAGAATTTAATAACTTTACGGCTGAGGAGATGTTGGCGATGATATTGAAGTATGCGATGGGACTTGCGGAGAATCACGCGAGGAGTAGTGTTAAGGATGTGGTGATCACGGTGCCGCCTTACATGGGGGTGGCTGAGAGGAGGGGGCTGTTGACGGCCGCAGACTTGGCTGGGATCAATGTGCTGGCGTTAGTCAATGAGCATTCGGGGGCAGCCTTGCAGTATGGGATTGATAAGGATTTTTCCAATGGGTCCAGGCATGTGATGTTCTATGACATGGGGGCAAGCAGTACTTATGCTGCCTTGGTTTATTTCTCGGCTTACAATGCTAAAGAGTTTGGAAAGACCATTTCCGTTAATCAATTCCAGGTGAGTTCAGTTTTTTTATTCAATTTCTGTACTTCTAATTGAAAACTCGAAGTAGCATCTTTTTTTGTTGAGTTTTCTTTATATTTAATAAATTATAGCTGTGTTGACATGATCTCCCGTGAAACTATATTGATCTACCATAAATTCATGTTGATATTCGTGTATAGTTTTATCCATTTACTTCGAGGATGACACATACTTGAATAATTTTGGCCTTTTTTAATCTTGAAGGGTGCTCAATTGGTCAGGCCTTGGGTTTGTTCGGTCGTAAACTTCAGGGCCCGTGGGATTAGTCGAGGTGTGCCCAAGCTCGCCCAGACATCCACGGTTATAAAAAAAAAAAAAAATTGGCCTTTTTTAGCACCCTTGAAATAAACAGGGATTGACAAGGGAAAGATGGGTCTTACTTTTGTGTTTAAAAATGAATATTTACTTGGGGAAAATTTTGAGCTGTCGTTTGACCTAAATTGCTTTCCAAGGTAATATTAGTTCGTATATCCATTTAAAATGAATGTAGCTAACCCCAAAACCCATCTCAGATGCAATGTACTATATTTTTTTAAAGAAAGAAATGAACAATAATTCGAAGTGTAAACCGAAAAAGGTTTTCAGTTTGTGTCTAGCTGTCATAGTAGATGTTTTACATTCTGAAAGTTGTTCCAGGTGAAAGATGTTAGATGGAACGCAGAACTTGGAGGTCAAAATATGGAGTTGCTGTTGGTGGAATACTTTGCAGACGAGTTCAACAAACAGCTTGGAAATGGGGTTGACATCAGAAACAATGCAAAGGCAATGGCCAAATTGAAGAAACAAGTTAAGCGTACCAAAGAAATTCTTAGCGCCAACACAATGGCCCAATCTCTGAATAGCCATTGGCACCAAATTACTGGAAAAGTGATAAAGTCGAACGTAATCCTTTGCTGATTGGATACCTAGCTAGAAGTTAGTATAGCTGTTCCTGCTAGCACTTTCTTTTGTATCATAAACTTGAACTTCTGAGTATGATGATGATTAGTTGTTTGCTTGTGGTAAATTTTGGTAACAAATTCCTCCCTGCGAAAGGCATTTATTTCTATTTCTGTTCATAAGCTTATTAGGTGAGGTCAGTTGTGTGATATTTCTTTGTTTAATGATATTTTAGAGAAATTAAACTACATACTCGCCAGTGTTAGCCTTCTCGGCCTAACTTATGTTTCACTTATTATATGGTTGTTTTTATGAACAATTGAAGTTCTGACAAATCCTTAAAAGAAGACTGCACCTTTGCTTTGATGTAATTTAGATGTTTTTCTCTATATTAGATCCTAAATACAATAACCCACTATTGACTCTCTATGTGACCCAATAAGAAGAAAGCAATGTTCAGTCATTGTATAGCCTGTGATTCTAGCCTGAGTTTTGCATAACTTATTGGTCCCATTTGCCCCGTTGCTATTTTGTGACATGTAATGAGCGATATTGCTTGTCAGCATGTTGAGGCTTTACTGTAATTTGATATTCTCAGGAGCACAATATCTCGCGAGAAGTTTGAGGAGCTCTGCAAAGATCTGTGGGAAAAAGCTCTCGTCCCGGTAAAAGAAGTTTTAAAGCATTCAGGTTTGAAGGCTGACGAATTATATGCAGTGGAGTTGATCGGAGGTGCCACCAGGGTACCAAAATTGCAGGTCATTATCAGTGTCTCTTTTAGAACATAATATCATTCTGTTATTTTCATAGGGTATAGTTTTAATTGACATTGCAAAGTGAAAAATTTGTCAAATCTGGCTTAGTTTTCAAATTGATGGTTTGACCATTGACACAATGTTAAATGATGTCGTTGGTTCCCCTAAGCATTCTTATGACAGACTTCATGGATTCCAACAATCATATGTTGCCTTCCCTTAGACTGAAGAGTAAGCATGCTACAGGCTGCTATCATCAAGAGCTAGGCGTTCATTTTAAATGAACTATGCATTTTCCTTCTACAGGCTAAGCTTCTGGAACTTCTAGGAAGGAAGGATCTGGATAAACATTTGGATGCAGACGAAGCTATTGTTCTGGGTGCTTCATTACATGCCGCAAATTTAAGTGATGGGATAAAATTAAATCGTAAGCTGGGAATGATTGATGGTTCTACTTACGGATTTGTGATGGAGTTAGATGGTCCCAATCTTTCGAAAGATGAAAATCCTAGACAGTTGATTGTGCCGAGAATGAAAAAGTTACCGAGCAAGGTAAATTTTTTGATCATTGCAATTTTGATCTCTCAACAAGTGGTATATTGATCAGTTTGACTGTGCTTCAGATGTTCAGATCCATTATTCACAACAAAGATTTTGACATTTCACTTGCATATGAGAGTGAAGATTTTATTCCACCTGGTGCATCTTCACTTACATTTGCTCAGTATGCTGTCTCGGGTCTAACAGATGCTACTGATAAGTAAGTTCCGTGTTAATTAAAAATCTGATTTCGTTCTTTCAATTGGTACTCCTTTTGCATCTGAATCCTTTCTTGATGCCCCTTTCTTTTCTTAGGTACTCGTCACGGAATCTTTCCTCGCCGATTAAGGCCAATTTGCACTTTTCTCTCAGTAGAAGCGGTGTATTTTCCTTGGATCGAGCAGATGCTGTTGTTGAGATTACTGAATGGGTAGAAGTTCCACGGAAGAATCTGACGGCCGACAACACAACCTCTGCTTCTGCCAACAGTACAGAAGCTGGTCCGAACGGTACATCAGAAGAAAACAATGACAAATTGGAGATGAATGATAGCACGAGTAATACATCAGATTCCAGTGTAACTGATTCTTCCACTGTGGATCTTGGCACGGAAAAGAAGCTGAAAAAGAGGACTTTTCGACTTCCACTTAAGGTACTTAACTTCACAGTATAGTGATTGTCTTTATAATCTTCGTTTGAATAATGTTTAGTTACTGCAATTGATGTTGATATTTTGAGCTTGACTTGTACGTTTCATGTAGATTATTGAGAAGACAACAGGGCCTGGAATGCCTCTTTCAAAAGACTCATTTGCTGAGGCTAAACTTAAATTAGAGGCATTAGATAAGAAGGATGCAGAAAGGAGGAGAACATCTGAATTGAAAAATAATTTGGAAGAATACATTTATTCTACTAAAGAAAAGGTACAAAATTTTATGTACTTTTGGACACCTGCAGACTTTCCTTGGCTCTCTGTCAAATTTTATCCACATATTTCTCACAATGCAAATTTGTTGGTAGATTAGGTTTTAAAACATTCCCATTGAGTTTTTTGACTTCTCTCTTTGATTTTTGTGATAATTTCACTTTCGCCAAAGATGTCATTTGAATTAATACCGTGAAGGCTCTACACATGCTCGTGCATACATATATCACTAGTGTTACTGGATTTCCCATTTTCATTAATTGCTTTTGGTTTGAAGTGCTGGACATTGGTTTACTGCTCTTTTTAACGTTATGATGCTAATAACCTGTGTGTATTCCTTTTCTTGGTTCATGGCATCAGCTTGAATCTGAGGAATTTGAGAAAATATCTTCAGACCAAGAGCGGCAATCCTTTATTGGAAAGCTCAATGAGGTCTGTTATCACTCCCTTTCTCCCCTATCTTCCCCCAAGAAACGCCTTCTGGTCTCACATGGCATTTATCGGCACACTGCTTGGTTACGTGTCTTGTATAGAATAAAGAAACAACATCTATTTTATCAGGTACAAGAATGGTTGTATACCGATGGTGAAGATGCTTCAGCCAATGAATTTCAAGAGCGCTTAAATACTTTGAAAGCTATTGGTGATCCCATATTCTTTAGGTCTGACCCTATTAACGGTTGAAATAGCTTAATAAATCTATTCCTGGCTAGAGAGGTTGCTCTAACATGAAGTTGCTTGATGTAGGTACAATGAACTTACTGCACGGCCAGTTGCATCTGAACATGCTCAGAGATACCTTGGGGAGGTGCATCAGGTGATCTTTTTCTGATCTATTGTTATTGTGGTTATTATTGAACTATAAGGATTGTTTAAGTAGCAGGAAAGTTATCCATGAAATGTTTTGGGGGGAAAAGTGAGGGAAACAAAAATGAAAATAATTTTCCTGCATGGCTATGCTTGATTGAAAAGTTGAAAGAGAATTTGTAATTAAATATTGAAGGCAAAAAAAGTGGGTGGTCAAAATTTGCAGTGTAGGAGATGCAGAAAAAGTTTTTGCTGTGGGGAAGTTTCTGACAATATTTCCTGCTTATGCAGGAAAACTTAGGAATAACCAACTTCTTCGGCAATCTTCCTTTTATATCATGAAACAGAACTTTATGGGTTTTTGATGTCAAATGAGTTCATATTTAATTGTCTTATGCATGTACAAATAACATTACAGGGATATTGAATAACCAACTTCCTTATATGTTAGTTTTCAATCTTGCCCAAACAGAATTTAATGGGTTTTTGAACATGCAACGCGTCATATTTAATTTCCATAGCTATGTAATTATAGAATAATTATTATTTACAACAGAAAAAAACACATTGATGTCTATTGATGGCGGTAGACTTGGAAGTGGGTCCCAGATGAATTGATAAGATATAGGATATTTATTGACATGACAGTTGAAAACTTTGATTTGTAATTGCGTTTGAAAGAAATTTCCAAGCATCCGGATATGTATTATGTTGGCATTCGTCATTTAAAAATATCATACAAGGGCATGTCTTTAAACTTCCTCCTCCACTTGAAACATATTATGTTGATGTCGACCCATGGTGGGTGAAAACTTTTGATAACCTGTTTTATCTCTAATAATCTCTGACTGCATGTAATTGCATGTTATACATGTAGAATGTTCCATGATTCCAAGTTAGGAATGCTTGAACTCGAGCGAAAAGTCAGCACAAAGACAAGTTAAAATTAAATATAGACAATGCTAGAACCCTTGGAGGAAGCCTGGGAGATTTCACTGTAGCTTCAAGTAATTATTAACTTTCGTAGCTTTTTTCTTTGTTTATGCTATTATTCTACCTAATCAACAAACAGTGAATAAAATTGGGGTCCAGGTCTTCTTACTTGAAGCTTGTTAGTCTAAAGTCGTGGAAGGACCAGAGGGATTGTACTACTACTCTGATAGTTTTAATGTTGAACCCTGCAATATTACTATTTCTCGAAGGTTTCTGAGAATGAAACTCCAAGGTTTTAACACCCACCCCCACCCCCCCCCCCCACCCCACACACACATAAAAAATAAAAAAATAAAAGACGAGCCAAGCAAATGTGGTGTAGCTGTACAGCTAGCTGTTATTAATATTCCCTTTTTTCCTTAAGAACCAGCAAAGTACTACATCATATGAGATTCTATAAAAGAAGAGGCGATCGGATAGGATCTTAATTGTGTAGATATTGTTATGAAATCCATCTCAAAATAAACAATATAAGAAAAGATTATTCTGGTTTTACATGACATTCCATAATATGTCCCAAACCATCCTTTACCAATCATGGAAATGTCTATCAAGTGGCGGTCCTTATGCTTGGTGTATGTTTGTTAAATTCCGAACCTGATATTAAGTTTATCAATGTTTACAAATTCTTCAAGAAAAGCAGTGCGGCAAAGTTTAGAGCAATGCCCTAGTATGCTCAGCATGTGTGCCTAAGGATTGTTAAACATAATATTAGCTAAGGATTGTTAAACATAATATTAGCTGTTTTTTCCCTTTCTTTCTCTTGTTGATAGCAGCTAATTACCTATATTTATTAAGATTTAAATACAGATGGCCTGCTAAGACAGACATGAAATTATTAGTTTTACTCGACTTAAAAGGCTTTTATCAATTAAAGGATTGAAGGCGTGTAGTTCACATCATGTACATCACATGATGTTTATGTCATTGACGCACAAATATTATTGTTTCCACGGTTCTGTTTTGAGATTTTATTTAGTCTATTTTGCTCAAGTTTTCGAAATGCTCCTTTCATATTTGTACTGACCAGCCTGTTGACTTTTCCTTTTTGCCCCTAATATCTTCAGATTATACATGGATGGGAAAAGGACAAATCTTGGCTTCCAAAAGAGAAAATAGATGAGGTGATTTAACCTTCTTATCTTACTAAGCATCCTTGCATTCTGTGGAAATATATGTTGGAAAAATAGATTGCTATCTTATGTTCACGAATTGGAAATTTTGAAGTGCGTGTGAACTTTTTTGGTTTTTTCCAGGTCAAACGTGAGGCTGAAAAGGTGAAGAATTGGTTGAATGAGAAGGAGGCGGAGCAGAAGAAGTGAGTTTTCCTTTTGTTCTTTTACCTTTTGTCTTCATTCATGTTTATTGCTGTATCAGGTTAGAAATACATCGTGTTCATAGATATTTTATCGAAGGTCCTTTATGTGGCCATCTTATCAAATATTTATAGAATCAGCTATTCAGTTAAAAGAATTTGTGTGATCACCAGATACTGTTGAGGTGTAGAAATATTTGATGTCCTTTATTTGTATCATTGAAGAGTGCAAATTTCTTGGCATTGATAAGCTTAAAAATACTTACAAACAGGATTTCTGGATTTAATACCCCAGCATTCAAGTCTGAAGAAGTATATACGAAAGTTTTTGACCTTCAGGACAAGGTAATGCACTTATATTTATTTGTTTCTTTTTACCTTCATTGATGAAATTATTATAAACTTGCAGTTTAGATTTTTCTTAGCCTATGTTTGGCCCTTCATTTCTTCAAAAACTCATTTTCAACCACACATTCTCTCATAAAATAATTTGACACGTAAACCGAAAAATTTGCTTTATTTTTTAACCACGCATTCTCCAAAAAATAACTATTCCAAAACACATTTTCTTACAAAAATGAAGCTCAAACAGGGGCAAATAATGTGTGTTGCTATTTTATTATGGTTTATGTTTATTTGTCTAGGTTGCAAAAATCAATAGGATTCCCAAGCCAAAGCCAAAAGTTGAGAAGCCTGTAATGACTGAAAATGAGACTGCTGCTGATAAATCAGATGACACGGATGCATCTTCTGAAGAGACTTCTCAAAAAGATCAAAAAGCCGGAGAATCAGAGTCTGTAACTGACAAAACGGATGAATCCAACGTTCATGATGAGTTGTGAAAACCATGTAGCGACTTGTAGATTCAAAGCTGACAGTCTGCCTCGCGCTAGAAGATGTAACAGCAGTATAAAAAGTAGAAAAAGCGCTAGAAATTTCCATGCGGTTAGGAAACACAGTGTCGAGCTCAGTGTTTGATGGTCGTCTCTCTCTTGCCATCCTTGGTGTTATAGATCCCTTTTCACCGCGGGCTAAAAGAATACTTTTTTGAGTATTTTCGATACTCAATAGTTAATACGTTGCAATATTTAAGCCACCCTGAACTGTAGGTGCACATTCATGAGCCATTTTTGTCTGCTAAAAGAATTTTGGTTGGTCTGCTCCTAATCTACACTTCTAGAGTTTGAATGGCAACTAGATTGAAAATTTGATGGTTTCTCGATTACAGGGATGTGATTTCACAATGAATATAGCCAATAATGCTATTTTACAATTTACAACTTTTGATGGTTACTTCAAAAGTAAATGCAAAAGCTTCAGCAAGTGAAATGATCAATATTTCTTCATATTTCTAGTTAAAATTTTAGAAATCTTAGCTATATTAGATATGGGGAAACGATTGCTATTGCTCAAACAAGCACGAAATGCGCTCTATGCATTAGTCTATAACAGTCGAGTAAATAACCGAAGTTACCGAATCAGTTTACTTCCCTTGCGACCATGTTCAGTTACGCACCATAAATATGACCAAAACGATGCTCCTAGACACCGTAAACGGATGGTAGCAAGACCGCCAAAGGCAAGACGCTATAGTGAAGGATTTTCTAGGAAAAATCGGACAAAATTTTACCTTCTTTTTAGTTGCATCGACAATTCTCTTAGCCGCAATCTCTTTTGCACGATGAACATGGACTCTTTTAACTTTAGAATGTACATACAATAATTAACTCTTTAACAGCATCAACTGGGAGAACCACCCATGGTGCCAACATTTTTCTCTTGCACGTAATAGGCAAAAAATAAAAAATGGGTATCGTGCATCCAAATGTACCTGCATACCTCATCCAAATATACCAGCATACCTCAATATTAAAGATTGGTTTTCTACCTAAGCAATTCGATGGGTATAAATGGGTCTCGTGCATCCAAATATACTCAAAATTCAATTTTGATACACGATAAGTCTAGCGCGAAAACTCTCAACCAAAATACAGTTGGTCAAGAATTAATAATCTTTCCTAAAAATTAATCTTATACATGTGGAAGGTATTGTGTGAGATGAAAGTCTCGTACAAAATTTTGAACGAGAGACAGAAGGTAGGAATTAGTAGAACTTGCCCACGTTTGACCTTCGAGGGAATAATATTTTAAATCAATTTACCTATTCTTTATCAATTGTCTTTCCAATAGTCGACTCTAAATTTTATGGAAAGGAAATATTTCCGTATAATTTAAATCCTTTTTAAGTTTGTTGAAGTCAAAAAATTACCAAAGAATTAGAACCTAGGGACAAAAGCTGACATTAACGTTTTTCATGGTATTGGTAGCAAGGAACCTTAAACCGACTTTAATATTTGGAACAACGGCATTTATACCAATTGAAAGCAGAAAATTTGGCATACAATCAAAATGAGAAGATACAAAGATTTTACAATCCAAGATACGTAGATGAGATCTTTTGTTTATTCTTTTTAATTCTTTATGTTGAAATTAAGTGTTTAGACCGCAATTTCATATGCAATTAATGCTCAAGTTGAAAGTTTTCCGACCAAGAAAATATACATGAGACCTGGATCCAAAGAGCTAATATAACAGATCAAAAAATAAATATGGGAAGTCTAGAATCTTAGTTCAAGCTCGCAACAAATAATCGAGAAAGCATACCAGCCTTAAGTTCATATACACGCACACGCACGCGGGGGGTGGGGGAGAGAACCGCAGCAAATAAGGGCATTGTATTACTCAAATCCTGTAAATTTAGCTACTGTGACATGTAAATATTCAGCAAATGAGAAACTATTTCTACACCATTACAAGTTACCTCTTAAAAACCAGGTTGCACACTTACACAACTAGCCTTCTCTACAGCATACCCCAAAATTGGCACAACTAGCCTACTCTACAACATACCCCATTATTCTTTCGATGAATACGGTTTCTTCTTTCTTGATCCACCGAAACAAGATTAGAGGATGAATTCAAATGAGAAAGATGGTTAACCTGTACATTTCACCTTTACGGTTAAGTTACAGAAGAGCGTCAAAATAAAGCTCTCCCAGATGCAGGTGCAAGTCATTAATCCTTTCACTAACATTCGACATGACAAACAGTTGCTAAAAACAATATTTTACCGAAATAAGCAGAACGTAACCCCTTCCCTACGAGTGGGAGAGGGGAAGGGAAAGAAGATGGGAACCTTCGGTTATTCTCATGAGAAGGAACATGAGGCATTAAAATGATGCCAAGGGATAGACATAGGGACCAAAGCTTGTACAGCTGCAAAGCTTCCTTGCTAACCCATCACTGATTCGGGATTTATTTGTCCACTGCTTCCACCATGAACATTGAACCCAGTAACAGGCATAGATCGCTGAGCAAAATTTAGTAATAACTTCCTCTGATGCTCATTAGTGTGTGGAAGACTAGCATGGAGAAGTTCCACAGGCATTTCCCTGCTTACGGCTATTGCAGCCTCTGAACCAATTACCTCTGTGTTTGGCTGGGTTTGAGAGAACACTGATTGCACTATACTGTCATATTTACTCATGCAATATTTCGCCAGGAGACCAAAAAAAGCATCAAATGAAGCCTGCCAAAGTGCAGGGTTTGGCATGCTAAAGTTGCTATTGGTCTGAGGATCTGTTAGTAAGTGAGTTGCTCTTTCTAAAACAGATTTCAAGATGACTGAGGCACCATCTCCTGCAGGACTCCCAAGAGGGCGAAGAGGTGGCTGTTCTGAGGAACAAACTACAGCAGCCAAACAAGCACTAAGTGAATTAAGATCCATACTGCTGATACACAGAGACACGGTTTTAGCTAGACCATTAATTGTCTCGGTCGCTCCTGGATCAAAGGGAAGGCCCCCAAAAAGAAATCTTAAATGACGAAAGATGGCCATGCAAACTATTCGGGTAAGCTCACTACCAGGTAAAAGAAGCTGTAGAAACCTTGAGATAAGTTTCCAACTTTTCGAAATAGAGACTATTCGTAGAAAGACAATGTCATCCTTGGGAGCCAGCCCAACAGTGTTGCCATTTTTTCCAAGTGGGTCAACAAGCTGAAGAGAGGCTGCTAATCCTTCTAACAAAATATGCCGCTTCCGTCGAAGCTGACTGCCACCATCTTGGGATTGACTGAATTTTAGGGTTCGGTCAATATCATCTACATCTAGAAGAAGACAAAGGCCATCCTCAATTGTAACCCTAGCTGCAAGCATTGGTTCCTGCTCCAAAGGCTTTTCAGATATTTTTTGTTCAGCACTTCCATTGCCAGAAGCAGAGGGATGAGAGTCAACTTCAAGAAGTGGATGGAGCCTGCGAATAGAAGAAAACGAAATCCTCCCCTGAGCATCAACATGGAGATGTGGCTGGGATTCTGCACCATGACGGGAGCGGGAAGGTTGGTCCCTCAGGTGAGATGGGCAGAAACGAAACTTTGACCTTGTTTCAGCTGATTTCTTTGCAAGACGAGCTTGGTGATAATAATCATCTACATATGAGTCATTGCTATGGGTCGCAGCTTGCTGAATTTTGAGAATGCTCTCTATTTCTTCTGCAGTCATGTACTTAGACCTAAACTGAAGCAAATTACTACTCCTCTGGATACTAGCATCAGTACCTTGGCAAGAGAATCGTACACTATTTCTACCTTTTGTTGCCGATTTTGACTTTGACTCTCTTTTATCAGCTAATCCATATGTACTCAAATGTGATGGTAAAGGGAAGCTATTAAATTGTTGAGATCGTACTGCTGGAAAATGGGCTAAAGATGGCTGAAGTGAAGGATGCAGTCTCTGCTGCTGTGGGGTCATTAGCAGTGGTGACAACAACGCATTCTGATACTGATGCTGCAAGATATTGTTCAAAAGGCTAGAATGGTCCCCATGAAGAAGGCCAGCATGGCTAGTCCAGTTGTTCTGTAGCCTTCTGTTAAGAGAGAGATTAGGTGAGGTTAAGTTTGAAGTGTTTGCATTATAATGCAATCCACCAGGCAAGCCAGAATGAAGAGTTGAATTAGATAGGGAGTTGTTTGGAGCGGAGAAGGGTGACTGAGTTCCCCTAGAGAGAGATGGCAAATTAAGATGATGTAAATTATCCAAAGAAGGTTGATGAGATCCCAGTGGAGGAAAGGAAGTGAAAGATGACTGTGGCAATAAAATAGGCTCACTAGCATAGTGCTGGAGCTGTTGTTGTTGCTGCTGCTCAGGGTATGAAGATGTTCTGTGTAACAGTCTTAATTCTGAAAGATGAACCGAAGAGAGATGTGGGTGGGATGACCACTTCTTGCTTTCTTGATAATATTCTGAATCAGACATATGCTGATCAAGCCGATCAGGAAAATCCATCTCTTGTGCCCATTCAGTGGCAGATGAACCTGAGACAACTTGTCGTTAACCACAGAACCAACAAAAACATCATATTATAAAATGAAATAAAAAATGGAATTTTGATTTCAAATTTCTTAACCTCATAATAGCTAATGTATCAAGTACCATTTATCAATTACAGTCAGCTTAGCCACTTAGATAGTGAATAAAAGGCAAAGGGATAACAAACAGGTGGTGAAGTAAATATCAGAACAGATATCAACAATGGTAGAATCACCATACAAGTGAAGCACATACCAAGGGGTAAACACCATGTACCACATGCAGGCATGCCGTTACACTCAATCATTCAGCAAGAGGTAAAATATTCTAGCATGTCAAGGTCTGCTCTTAAATGAAAGAGATTAAACACTGGAAATAGAACCATATCATAAGCAAATCAAAGAAAAAATAACCAATGAATTTCAAAAAGACTAGTTAATAATCCATTAATGTAACCTTCATGACTCAACCCCA